AATAGTCTACATAATGATGTTATTCGAATTGCACATTAGTGTTAGACATATTGCATATTAATGTTAGACGGATTACACTAATACCTATCATATTGAACAATATCTAACTATCAATTTTCGATTAAACTTTTTTTATCGATTGTTTTGGTTCGATATAAGCATTTTCTTAAGGAAAAAAAATTGAAATAAATATATACAATTATTATTATTATTATTATTATTATTATTTTATGCACCGCGATTGCACAATAACATTACACGAACTGCACTTTAATGGCTGTCTGATTGCACAATATTTACTAAAGTCAATCGAATTAAATTATTCGGCACAACATTTAATGATTTGGTAAAATATTTCTACTCTTTAAATTTCAATTATAATTTGCATTTATCACATAATATTATCCATCCTTTTTTAGCATTATCGTACATATAATATATTTTTATAAATTATGCATTTGACCCAAGTATTGAATTGAGATTTATTAAAACTTTTAAAATTGCAATTGAGCCCCTTGTATATATCTAATTCTCAAATGGAAGTCCCAACTTATAAACACCCTTCACCATCACAGTCACAGTGCTCACCACCAGCAAACCACCGGCTGCACTCCTCTCCGGCGACTGGCCATATGCAGCCGGAGAACGAATATTGTACGTACATATCCCTGAGTCCTCAAAATCAAACTTCACGACAGATGAAGAGGGTGGCCGGAAATGAGACGGCCACTTCAGACGACGTTCTCGAATGCGGAGGCCTTCCCGATTTTACGACGGCGACTGTGCGTGGTCGGGAGGAGATGGAGTCGTCGGACTTGACTTAATTGAAGCAGGTGCAGGAAGTGTTGGTTTGACTGTTTCTGCCGGAGTATAGTAGCCCATCTCCGATAACGGTCTGCGGTAGACCGACGTCGGGGTTGTGGTGGGCGGTCACGGAGAATGGGCTGGGTGGTGCGGTGGTTGAGATGGGGAGCTGCGGCGGTAGATTTGAATCTGCGCGACGGGCGGTTGGTGATGGTTGTTGGTGATGGTGGCGACGGTGTCAGCGGCCTGTTGCCGGCGCGGAATACGGCGGCAGAGAGTGCGCAGGCGCGGCCTCGGACGGCGACTGGCGGCAGACAGAGGTGGCACCAGAGGTCGGTTACTCAGATCGAGAGAATTGTGTGTGTGCGTTGGTGAGAGAGAAAGAGTTGGTGCATGTGTGTTGGTGAGAGAAAAAGAGTTGTTTGAGTGAGATGGTGGTGGGACCCACATGATATATGAATGAATATATAATTACCACTTTGTCCTTTATTAGTGGTTAAATGAGTATATTTGACCATACTATGATCAAATAATTACTAGATTGCCATTAATGATTGACCATTGTTTGACTTCATCATAACCATTGATATGGTTGATCTCATGGCCCAGAATCATTCTTATTTCTTTCACTATATACCATTCTCATTGGATCTTAAATATATATATATATATGTATGTACATATATATATACATATATATATATATGTATATATATATGGTTGGGTTCCAGTGAGAAAACGTCTTAATGAAAGAAAAAATAATGCATCGCAACCATCAAATCAAATGATCTAACGGATACCAAAAATTCAACATTTATTTATTAAGGGTATTTGTACATGTTAAAAATTAATGCCAACTAACACTCACCCACAGCCAATAGTTTTCTGACACGTGGCTACTACACCACACCATCCCACCCACTCTTTATCTCTCACACACTCACATACACTATACACACACAACACACACACACGCCTGCTGCCACCAAAACGCGCACCCACACGCACTGCCGTCATCTCCTCGCCTTCGACCACCCGCCGGCACAACACCCAACGCCGCCCCATCCATCAGAGACGAAACACGCCGGCACTCTTCACTGCGACAATCTCCCCGTCGGCGCCCACGACGGCCAAATCGGTTTTCAAACTCCCCACCGGCACTCCTCAGTGCGATAATCTCCCCGACGGCGCCGAAGATAGATACCCTCCACCGCTGCGTGTGGCCATTGAACAACTCCGACCGCCACCGTGAAATCGCCATGATTCTCGTGCCAAACTATGTGAAAATATTACCAATTATTTTCAATTATATATATATTTTTTAATGAGAGACCAATAATAATTTTATATAGATTTTTTTATGTATTGAGAGTGCACATCATGGTTATACTAATTGCACGTAAACGTCTACCATATTGCACAAAATTGAACGCGATCCAATGAACATAAATTCGGTACGAAATTTTATATATTGTTACTATTATTATTAGTATTTTTTTATAAATCAAGTATTTCGGTACGATATCGTTTTTTTATTTAAATAACTAAAATAAATACTAAATTATATTAAAAATATTATTTTTATATTTTTTGTATAAAAATATTAAGATAGGATTTTCTATTGAAGTGTATGTATTAAAATTTTATTATATTATCAGTTTGCCTAATTGTACTCAATTGAAAAAAAAAATAATCAACCGACCGATGTACATAAAAAATAATATTTTATATTTATATTATAACTTTTCAAAAAAAAATATAAAAAAATATCAAAATAAAAACTATAAAATACTAAATATATTTTATGATATAATTTATAAATTGATTTGTTCATTTAGATTAATAAGGTTAATTGAACTAATAAAACGATTATTTCAATTGTGCTTTAATTTGTTTTGGACATGTAATTAAAAACTAATGTAGTGCGATTGCACATTACCGTATTACGAGTTGCACATTAACCACTATAAGATTACACAAGATTGGACCAAACTCGAACAAACTAAAATTAAAAAATATATTGTGCATTTTATCACATGATTTTGTGCATTTTCTATATTATTAATGTGATGTGTTTGACTTTTAATATATTACAAAACTGTCGTGAGTACTAAAATGCAATATACTAAAGTTTGTGAAGTTGCATAAAGGCCCTTGTAACTTATCTACTTCTCTAAAATAAGTCCCTATCCCTAACAAGCTTCATCCTCCCGTCACTGTCACTGCAGCTCAGCGCCGGAACTCTCCCGTCGACCTGGAGGCTCTCGCCGTGAAGGCCATGGTGTCAGTCGACCGCCAGCTTTCCTCCGACTGGTTCTCCGGCGAGAATGACGAGCTCGTTTTTTGTTTTTCTCGGTGGAGATATGCAGCACTCAAGTGGCGGCTCATGGCATACGTCGATGGCCCTGAGCTGCTGAGCAGCGACATATGGCTTGGATATTTCTCCAGTTGATTCTCGCCGGATTTTTAAAAACACCACTTTGGCCAGCGAGTCTCCGACGAGATGGCTAGCCGGGTCGTGTTGCAGACGGCGGGAAGCTTGTCTCAGTGGACGGCCGGGTGGCGAACAACTGCTCGTGGCCATGAACGACGGGCTGCAGATTGTGAATCGCCAGAGTTTTAAAAACTCCACTTTGGTCGGCGAGTCTCCGACTGTGGAGGGGCTGGTAAGCTTGCGTCTTGACGGGGTGATATCTACGTACCGTGGCGCGACGGCGGAGGCTAGAGGTGGTAGACGATGGTGCTTGTGGTGGCCGACCGGTGATTGATTAAACGCGTGAGGGTGTGTGTTTTAGTGTGTGAACTGTGTGTGAGAGAAAGAGTTAATGTGATTTATGGTGAGTAGGTTGAGGGAGAGGGAGAGATAACGTGATTTAGTGAGTAGGTTGGGGTGGGTCCCACTGGTAAGTCGGAATGTGATTAATTACCTATTTATCCTTAATAAGTGGTCAAACACATATATTTGACCACGAAATGTCCACTTATTTACCATATTGCCAACCCATGTTTGATTGCATTATTAATGTTTGACTTGATCATAGTCATTGACTTTTGGATCCAATGGTCTACAATTATTTTTATTTCTTTTACTATGTACCATTTTCATATGATCCATTCTCTCTCTCTCTATATATATATATATATATATATATATATATACTCCCTCTGTTTTAAAATACTTGTCTTTCTAGCTTAAAAGAACAAAATTACGTATTTGAAGGAATTGGTTATCTTATCACGCTATTAGATTTTTCTAAATCTCCTAATGTATTTAAAATACCTTCTTAATGGTTTTCTCTCTCCTTATCACTTTTATAGTTATACATGGAGCATTAAAATTAAACAAACATGAAGTGAAACTACATAATTTTAGGATTTGAGGAGTACTTATCCAACCAATTGGTTTATAGTTATCTAAAACGACAATTAATAAGTAAAAAAAATTACACACTTGAACGACATTTATTTTAAAACGGAGGGAGTATATATATATATATATATATATATATATATATATATATATATATGATGTGGTTCAAATGAGAACCAAGACTTAGTGTGAGAACCGTGAGAACCGCTATTTTTATTTGGACGTAGTGCTATGATTGATTGTGTTTGATGCTATTTTTAACCAAAATGAATTTTATTAAAAATAGCAACACATTTTTTGGTAGCACTTGTAAAAATGATAGCATCATCTAATATGAAAAATAGCATCATACACAATTAAAAATAGCATAAAAAACGGTTCTCACGGTTCTCACACCAGGACTAGTTTTGATTTGAACCAACCCCTATATATATGGTTGGGTTCACATGAGAATGGTTGTCAATGAAATAAATGAAAATAAATCGTACCCATTAGATCGGATAATCTAATGGCTAAAACAAAGTCAAAATTAAACCTTCATTAAGAGTATTTTGGTTAATACAATTACACATTAACAACACATCACCATGCCACATCACCTCCACAAACACCTAACACATTCAAAACACACGCACACACACACCTAACACACGTACACACACTCTGCACACATTAACTCACGTTGCACACACATTAACTCACACACACACACACACACACACACACACAGCTCGAACAGCTCTTGCCGGTGGCCACACCACGCAGCACCGCCGCACCCACCGATCCGGACACTGTTGCTGATCGTAGACACCCGAGAATGTCAGTGTCATCGCGACACTTCTTCATCCACCAACCCTCGCCGCTCAAATCCGACGAGAAGGCCTTCTCCTCGGGCGACACCAACCGGTACACCTTCTAGAAACACGGCGGCGCCTGCACCTGGCGGTTGGCAGCGGTCACACCGGTATCGTTGGAGAGGTCCTTGTGGCCGGTGTTGCGGAGTTCTATTCCTGGCAGGATGACGAGGGGTCCACGTGACGGTGTTCAACAGGAGCAACGGTGCTTGCTGAGATGGATTGCCGGAGCCGAGCCTAAGTGGTCGCGGGCAAGCTGGCGTTATATGTCGTCGAAGAGATCCCCATGGTTGGCTTTGGGGATGTTTGTTCCAGAAGGGATGCCGACGCGCCGTCCACACTGCGGCGATGGACTGGATAGGTCGGTACTTGCCGATATGGACGCCGGAGCCGAGCCGGATGGTTGAGGTCGCCGGAGATGGCACCGTACGGGGTATGCGTGAATTGGGCGTGATTTGGGAATTAGGGCGTTTGGCTCTTTTGTTTATTTTTTTATTTATTTTTTTTGTTTAAATTAGATAATATTGAGGGTATTTGCAGTTTTACCAACTTTGAGTGTTTTTTCATTTTCTTTAATGGGCAATTGTATAATTTATAGCACCATTTTTATAAATGCATAATAATGATAAATATATTGTACAATTTTAAAAGTTTCAATATGTAAAATTTTAGGCATATAAAAAAATTAAAATAATAAATATAACTTTATAATAATAAATAGTAAATTAATCAATTGTTTAAGTTAATTCGTTACACAATTATATATACTAAATTTAGTTTTCAAAAACACATAATTTATATGTGTTCACATAATGTGGTGCATTTTATATATCAACACGATGCACTTTATAAAACATCACGTTGCACTTTATAAATCAAATTGTTGTATTTTACCAACATAATTTATATGTGTTCACATAATGTAATGCACTTTATATATCAGCACGATGTAGTTTATAAAACATCATGTTGCACTTTATAACTCAAACTGTCGTATTTTACCAAAATTACAGTAGTTCACTGTATACTTACACGAGTTGCACATTATAAAATAACATATTGCACTTTATAGAACGAAATCGATCAAACTCAAATTCTTTCAACCGAATATAATATAAAAATAATAATAAAGTTATTAACATATTAAATATAATATTGATATAAATAACAAATTATTTCGATTACTTATGATGATTTGGTTAACCGGATCGACTAAACCAATAAATTATGTTCATTTTCAATTTGGGCTGGGACAAAACAAAAGTTCAATTGGTTCAATATGCACTATACAGACTGACAATGTGCACCATATTGTTGGACGAATTTCACCTTAATAGTTGTTAGATTGCACATTATATTTAATTTACATACATACTAATTTTTCTACTAAAAGTAATAATATAAAATATAAAATATATAGATATTAAATACTAATTATTTTTTTATTATAAATAATATAATTTATGTTGATTATTTTGGTTATTTATATTAGCGGATGAATTAAACCGGTTATGTCCAAACTAAAAATTTCACTTCGAAACTTTATATTTCATTTTTATTATTTGTTTTAACTTTTACAAAATTCAATTATGTATGCTATAGTTCGACGTTTTATTTGATTTTATTTAGATAACCAAAATACCCGAGCGATCGAACTATATAAAAATTATTATTATTATTATTATTATTATTATTATTATTATTATTATTTTCAGCCATAAATAATTTATGCTTACTCAAATTTTCTTATGGCAAATAAGTAAAAACCAGAAAAAACCAATTGCTCTAGTAACAAGAATCAAATCAATTTGTAATATATTAAAATTACTAATATTGCAATTAAGTCCCTCAAACTTGTCAAATTTTCATAAATAGACCCCAAAATAAAAAATTGCACTCCCTCTGCAATACTTATCGCCGGCGCCGAAGTTACCCTCCCCGTCACCGGTGATGAGGCAGCGACTCTCGGTGCTCCCGTCGCATCTCGTTTTTTTTACTTCGACGTCGAAGTCAATTGAGATGGCTGTCGAGATGCTCCACCACAGTACAGTCGAGTGGAGGTCGTCGGCATATGAAGCAGCTTCCATGCCGGGTTGGTCGCTGTGGTGGCGGCGGCGGGCGGCGGGCGGAGGCAGCAAGCGGGCGGAGGCTGGATGTGGCGGAGATTGGTTGCGGTCAAAAACAAGTGGCATAGTACAGGCCTGTCGCAGTGGTGGCGGAGGCGGTGTATGTCGACGACGGCGGGTGAGTGTTGGTGAAGTGTGTGTGTGTGTGTGTGTGTGTGTGTGTGTTGGCTTACTGTGTGTGAGTGTGTGAATATGTAACAGAGATGAGTATTAGGGTTAGTGATAGGTGGTGGGGTCCACTATGTAATGACTTTGACTTTGACTTTGACTTTGAAATGCACAAGCCCAACATGTGTAACTCATGAATTAATTAATTTTAATCAAAATCAAAGCTCAAAAATGATTTTTAATTTTTTATTCTTTAATAATGAAAGCTGGAAAGAAAAATAAAATTAAAATCTGAATTAAAGATTAAAATACAATTTACAAACTTATGGTAACCTATAGGATATTGATTGTTGAACTCTTATTTAGAGAAATGTCATTATACACTACAAAATTAATGATAAGAATATGTACAATTATATATTATACATATAAAATAATAAAAATTCGACCACTAATCCAACCAGTTGACCATTGAACCAGTAGCTTAACTGATTCGATGACCGGTTCAATTTTCAGAACCTTGATAATACCACATAGCGGTGGCTAGGCCGATATAACTACCCATATGGTATTTCAAACAATATTTAATACTCACAGGTTTTAAAATCTCGCTCTAATACTAATTGTGAGGAAAATATTACAAGATTTCATTCTATTAAGTTTNTAATAATAATAATAATAATAATAATAATAATAATAATAATAATAATAATAATAATAAATGAATATCAATCAAATTATATTGCTCTCAATCAAATTATATTGCTCGAATGATTTTCAAATTAAGTTATTCAAAATTTATAAGGGCAAATAGCTACTATTTTTTTGTTATAATATTACCAAAATCAACATTTCACATCTTATCATCACATGATTTATTGGGTCAATTGGTAAACCAAACACAAAGTAGAGTAACTAAACAATGTTATGTATACATAAAGAAGATATTCGACCTGAATTGTGTTCGAGCTCGTACTCGTTTACTTAATGAATCGGCTAACTTTAATTCAGACTGGTTTGTCATGTTTAACAAATTCAAAATTTTAAAGGAGTTGCTTGCATAGATGATTTGTTCGTTCGTGAACATGCTCAACTCGATTGTTCATTCGAAACCAATTCTTAAAAAAAAAAAATACATGAGTTGTTTGCCACTGAGTACGACTCTGCTCATTTAATAAGTAAATTTGATTATGTTGTTGAGCTCAACTTGTTTCTTAACAAGTTAAGCTTAAACTTAACCAAGTTGTATTTGCGAACAACCCATTTGAACAACTTTGCGTACACAACTCTGATTTAATTTTGTGTCAAAGTTCCAACACAATTTAGATCATACACTATACCCGCTCTATGAACTAGCAAAGAATGAGACTTAAAAAAACGGATATTATTAAGAACCAGAACAAATTTGTACTTCACGAAATACACATTTTCTCAAGAAAAAGAAAAATAAAAAAACCATAGTTATTATGATGAATACATCAGTGTCAAGAGGGAGAGAACAATTTAAGAAAAGTTTAATTAGCTTTATTAGAGTTTAATATGTTGTTGGCAGTCATTTTCATGTTGACCTTAGATTCATAAACAAAGAACAAAAAGTTAATGGTAATCCACTATATATTTTTTCTATATTACATAAGAGAATAATAGAGTATAAGAAATATTAATTTAAAATTTCATATCTAAAGCTACACACTTCTTTTTATATATTATATATTCACCCAATATTCTATGAAACCATCGAAGTTTTCTTATGGAGTCATCCATCACTTAATGTACTGACTAGTGCAGAGCCCGTGCGATGCACGGGGTGCACAATTTTAAGGCTATTTATCCAAGATTATAATTATATACATGAATAAAGAAAAATGTACGGGATATATATAGTACGTGACCCGTGCGAAGCACGGGATATATTTATTCGGAGAATATTATATTATAAGATGCAATATTCAATAAGAGTTTATAATACGCAAGAAAATTGTACAATGTTCACTAAAAGTTTTACAATATTCAAGTGGAGTCTTAAAGTCTCTTGTACATTAAGACTACTGACAAAATAATATTTTAATCAATGAGTTTCCTTTCTTTGTAGCCAAATTGTGAATGTGATTTGAGGAGTACAACAAATCGATATATAGCTGACTTGCTTTTTTCATTGTAGTTTTTTTTTTTCTTTTTTTATAATGAATTTAAAGATATTCTAAAATATAGCAAAAATTAATTTTTTTTATTACAATTAGGAATTTACTAAATATAGACTCTCAATCTATGGTGTTAATCAACGTTTAAGTCTAAAAATTTAGGAATTTTTACCTCTTTTAATCAACGTTTAAGTCTAGAAAACAATAGAGTTATTATAAGTTTTTTTCTACATCTTTTAAAACATTATATATGAGCATGTTAAGGGCTAGCTTGCAAAATAATTAATATATTATCTCATTAAAATATTTATACTAATAAAAATTTAATTTTAGCATATAAATTTATCCCTTGATATAAAATAAAGTAACAGTTTTACTTATTGTTGTTAACCATATAATATTTAATTATTATTAATATAATAAAAAATGAATATTGTTAAATAGTGTAGTAGAATTGTTATAAAATTATATGACTTTTTTTTTTACAATATGGATTTAATATTTTTTTATGATTTGATAATATAAACAAATCTATACTTAACTTTGACAAATAAAACAAATAAATGCTTTAGTAAGTATTTAATGTATATACTAAATAGGAATATATTTGGTATAATCAAATACCAAATATAATCAAATAAGTCAAAGTGTATATTTTTATTTGGTATTTAATTTTTTTATTATTAAAATCTTTTTATTATACTTACCTTTTTAAAATTAAACAAATAAATAAATCAATTAAATAAATAAAATATTATAATACCAAAATAGTAATGGTATTTAATGCAGTCGACTTTTTGGGATAGTAAATGTAGTAAATAGAATCTCCTTTTATATAAGTATAGATATGATATTATATTATGTTGCTCAAAATAGTAATGCATTTATTGCATTGACTTTTCAACTTACTAAATTTTGTAAATAGTACACCTTATTATATAAGTATAGATACATGTCCAAATCTATACTTATATTAAAGGGAGTCATATTTACCAAATTTAGTAGCTAGAAAAGTCAACAGCATTTATTGTCATTATTATTTTCCATAATATACAGTTTTATTTAATATTTGTTTTTCTGTTACGATTTTTAAAAACATACATGGTCAAATTCTCTCATCATTAATTACTTTTCATTAATTATAATTTATTTATTTATTATTTTCTTAGCAAAAACGGACCAACATTAATTGATTTCCTTAGAGCATCTCCAATGCTCTAATGTTGTAGTAGAATAAATTTTGACAAATGTCAAAAAATTAAATAGATTGTGAACCATGTAGGTCAAATGTTGAGTTCACAACTATTAAATTAAAAAATCATCTTCAATGCACAATGTAGTCAAATTACAATATTATCTACTTACCAAATATTAAAATTTTAATATGAATTAATAAAATTAATCAAATAATTAAATAGCTTAAAAATGGTAATAGTAATTCTCTCTCTTCTCTTCATTGGTTAACTAGAGTGTGGAGGAGAATGTGGATGAACCACATTCTTCTCTACACTGTAGACATTAATTATGTCCACATCATCACAATAATTGTGATCACATTGTACATTGAAGGATGAAAAGTTGTAATATTAATAAATGTGTTGATGTGGAATGTAATTTGGTACTACAACATTGAGCATTGGAGATGCTCTTAAAATGTGGAAGTTGTTGCTTTATTTTTGTACAGAAAATCGGATTTCATTATAAAAATTTGTTCAATTACACAATGAATTTACTATGATATAATTATTTTTTATGAGAATTTTTTTTTAACAGAAAAATATGGCATTTCAATAAGATTTTCGATTTTTTAAGACTGATTGTTATCATGCTATGAAATTGAACATTCCAATATACCTTAACAAAATATACACGTGGTGTATACATCAGTTAATAGAAATATAGAATCCTCATTTTATATATATGTATGTAATTTTTCTATTACCAAATTTAATTGATAGTTGTTGTGTTATGGGCTTTTTCATAATTGTTACTTGGTTGTTGTGATATTTAGTTTGGTTGGTGTCGCAAAAATTATAATCTATATATATAATAAGAATAATCATTACAATGCAAATTAGAAAAAATATTGATATTAGAAGAGATTGAGTTCATGGCTTTTCTTAAATCAAAGTTGTTTAATTAGTATACAAAATTAAATTCTAAAAAAATATATGTGTATATTTTGTACATTATTTATACACTAATTAATTTTAAATTTATTTACATATTTTAAATTGATTACTTATATAAATAATATCAACGTGCATTAAATATATTTCATTACATAAAATAAAAAGAACAAGAAGACGTGCAACTTGTATAACTTTATAAATAATAATGACATTATATGGCAACAGAGTTTAATAATTAACTATTATATAGTGAATAAGAATAAGTAAAATTGTTATTTTCTCTTATATCAAGTAAATATATATAATAAAATTAAATTTATATTAGTATAAATGTGTTAGTGAGATAATATATTAATTATTTTACAAGTTAGCCCTAACATGCTCACGTTTAATGTTCTGACTAATAAAACAACGTTGATTAAAAGATGTGAAAAATAGATTACAACCCTATTTTTTTAGACTTAACGGTGATTAAAAGAGGTAGAAAATAGATGATAACTCTTTTCAGATTTAAACGAGACTTAACGGTGATTAAAATAGGTGGAAAATGAATAATAACCTTCTCAGACTTAAACGGACAGAGCCTGTGAAAATAATTCATTTAATATCTCTCTCCCGTGCGTCGCACGGGGTACGTACTAGTTGTATTTATTGTATGACACGTATCAACACACTATTGGTGAATAAGCGTGGATGGCTCCATAAGTCAAGCAATTCGATGGCTCCATAACAAAATTGTATATTCACCAAGCATTGTTTATACTTAGGTATTGTCTAATTCATTTAATATACCCAATGAATAAAAAATTGACATGATTTTTCATTTGTATAAAAGTCAAGGTTTTCATTAGGGTTCTGAATAAAAATATGACACGTATCAACACACTATTGGTGAACAAGTGTGGATAGCTCCATAAGCCAAGCAGTTCGATGACTCCATAATAAAACTGTATATTCACCAAGCATTATTTATACTTAGGTACTGTCTAATTCATTTAATATACCCAATGAATAAAAAATTGACATGATTTTTCATTTGTATAAAAGTCAAGGTTTCCATTAGGGTTCTGAGACCAAAATCAGGAGAAAGTAAAATTGAAATCTGTGGCCACTCATCGAGTCATGGTAAACTCGTACATCATGGCTCTATAAATTATTTGTAGAAGATTTCACTTTCATTTTATATTTTATTAATAGTTATTGCGATTGTAACTTGTTTTTTCCTTTAATTTTCAAATTGACACACTTTTTGTGCTGTATTCAACTTGAAATTGAAAATTTTTCAGAAAAGCCTAAGAGCGTCAACTTGAAATTGAAAATTTTTCAGAAAAGCCTAAGAGCGTTGTTACGATCACCCTCTATATTTCAAACCAACAAAGGAGCGTCTTTAATTGGACCCCTATTGTTCTAGGACATGATTGACTATGTGTTTAGAAAGAGTGAGACACAAGTCAATTGCTATACGAGTCAAATTACTTCTACTTATTTTTTCTACCAACTAATAATTGATCACTTCAACATGAACCTCAGATGGAGGTGGCTATAGTTCAAAAGAACCACGGCTACTATTCTAAAATCACTTCACTCCTCAAAAAAACAATTAAATAATTAATAAAAAAAAATAAAAATACGAGAATGGAATCCTATTAAATATAGAAAATGTTTCATTTTGCTTGTTCATTCAAAATTTATTTCACTGAGATGGAAATTTAAATTTAAAAAAGTAAATCTCGTCTCATTTTACTTTTTTTCTCTGCAATCTCACTTGCACAACTAAAAATAAAAATCAAACATTGCTACATATTTTTTAATAATACTAGTTTTTGTCCCGTGCATTTGCACGGAAAACTATATGATACATGAAAAAATAATAAAAATTATAAACAATAGTAAAAATCATAACAAATTCATTGAAAAAAATAAGAAAAAAATATAAATATTCTTAAACACTTCTTTATAAAACAACGTCGTAGTTTTTCTATCCTCAAAATCTCCCTCAGTCAAATCAAAATCTTCAAACTCCAGTGACTCGTAATTCTAAAAAACGCCACGTATAATTGCTCATGACTAAATGCAGAGCTTTTTAGTAGTAAGCCGACGTGCGACAGAGACTGTCTTTGATCCTTATTGATCATGTCATAGCATATGAAACACTTCTTTATATTGTTTGTCCTTGATTCTTATTGATTGATAGAGATTGTCCTTACTTCTTAATAAAAAAAATACTATCTAAATATAAATGAGTAAATATAATATTAATTTTTTATATATACAAAAAATTTAAAGTAATTGATAATGAGTATAGAATTACCCTTGCGGATTCAAGTTATTTCAACGATGTTCTTTTTATATATCTAAGATTTAATTTTTTTTTTTCTGATTTATATGAATATAAGCACATTTGACTAATTTTTATAAAATTTATTGAAAAAAGTTACTATTTTTTTGAAAAATTAATAAGATATTAAGATAATATTGTACTTAACATAAATGTGGGATTAATTAAAATAAATCTTTTTAATTTAGTCATTAACTAATTAAATTTAACTATAAAAAACCTTCTTAAATGTGAGATTAATG